AAGTTATCCGCGTGGCTCCGAGACAATCACAAGTCTTACTTGGTAATGCTAAGTCGGTCTAACTCACAAATTTGCAAGAAAGGCAAGTAAGAAGACAAAAAGAGTTTGAGAGAATGTTTTTGTATTCACTTTAAAGGGACGCGGTACAATTCTTGGATTGATTGCAACAAATGAGCGCCTCTTCTATTTATAGGCTTCTTAAGAGCATTCTAGAACACACAAGAAAGTGTCATGTAGAAGCTTCCCATGGAAGCCTTCTTACAAGCTACAAGAACATTCTAGAATGTCTTCTAGAAATATCTATACAAATATCTACAAGTCTAGTTATATGTACAAGTATGATCTACTTCCAAAATCAATTTAAGACCAAATAAGAATCATAAATAATACCCACTCATGGGCAACCCCTATTAACTCATGTCAGCAAATATGAAAATTGTCAAAATACCCCTAACCTAAAAATCCTAGAAAATATAAACTAATAATAAAATAGGACTATCATAATACTAAAAACATGATTATGAATGGTTCCTATCGGTTTTTCATTTTTCTTTGAAATCATGCCAATTTTCAAATATCGCCACTTTTTTGAATTTATTCTTTATTGAGTTTCTTATATTCTGCATCACATCTATTTATATATATTTTTAAAAAGAATCATACATTACATTATTCTTAAGAATTATACGTTGTTTTTAAGAATATAAGATATTTATGTCAAATTCTCAAACTTTGAAAATCAAACATTAGCGAATGTCAAAGTTTTGGTCTCATGTTTATATTTTTAGTGACAGACATGACCGATAAGTGACGACACGTCGTGAAATGAGCGTCAAACATGTGTCCAAAATTAATATTTTTAATTTTAATCAAGGACATGTAAAAAATAGTATTGAACACGTGTCTAAGAGTGTTGGTGTCTGAAATGGACACATCTACTTCTTAGAAGTGTTTGTTTGTGCTTCTTAGCTTATCCCACAAGCATTTTTACAGCCCTAACAAGACAACGTAGAGGAGACTAAATTTGCTTCGCTCGCCCCATCTCAACCCACCCTGTGCCAATTATATTTAATTAAATGACCTTTGTATGTATATCCATCCACATATGAATTTGATTTGTTAAATTTAGTAAGAGTAAAATAGTAAAACACTCGTGTTTCTCAGTTTTTCTTTTCTCACCTTTTAAACACTCGTCTTTAATCTTTTTAACTCTTATTACTCATCAATCTTTGTCCCTCTTATACTACATCATCTCCCTCATTAGTATAATTCCTCTGAGGGGTGACAAATTACTTGCCAACCCCTTGCTCCTGACCCATCCTCGCCACCGCTTTGATGTTTCCCACCCCAACAAGGAACGGGGTGGGGATGGGGCCCTTCAAACCTTGCCTGTCTTGTTGTCATTCCTAATTGGAAACCTTGCCTTTGTGGACAAAAAACTTTCTTCTTGTTATTAAAATGCTTTTATTTCTTGGATGTTTTATGTTGGTTGGGGTTGAGGGTTGCGCTGCTATGGGACAAGATGGCAATGATAATTTCATCTGGCAATGCACTTAGCTGATCCTCCATGTAATTGCTCTTCTTGCAACGCTAATCATTGAAAACAAAAGCTAGTGACACACTTTGTTCCAACATATCAAACATTACCATGAAAAATAAAAATAACAAAATTCAAACCCATCATGCAACATAGAGAAACAAAAGAAAGTGTGTCACTAGCTTTTGTTTTCAATGATTAGCGTTGCAAGAAGAGCAATTACATGGAGGATCAGCTAAGTGCATTGCCAGATGAAATTATCATTGCCATCTTGTCCCTCTTGACAATGAAAGAAGCAGCAAGAACTGGTGTGCTTTCCCTTGAATGGAAAAATTTGTGGAAGTTTTCCATGGGTAGTTTGAATTTTGATGCTTCCAATACAAAGGCGCGCATGCAACAAGAAATAGAAACAATGTCAATTGAAACTGAAAGGACTAAGTATATAAGTAGGGTAAACAAAGTCTCCAATTTGCATCAGGGCCAAAATATAGAAGAATTTAGAGTGTGCTTTGATTTGGATTAGAATTTTGCATGTGTCGTTGATAGATGAATTAACTTTGCAAAAGAAAAGAGTTTGAAAGCTTGAGTTGGACTTGAGAGGATATTTTGACGATTCTCAGTTTGAGGATTCTTGCCCTTTTCCGTTAAGCCAATTTGGTGTTCTAAGCTTTAATACCTTGACTTCCCTCTGCTTGAAATCGGTAGATTTGACAGAAGACGTTCTTGCACAATTCTTATCTAATTGTCCGTTTGCATTCATGATCTTTGGTTAATCTAAAAATAGGTGGTCCTCTGAAGTTGAAGTAATTGGTGCTTAGCTACTGTTTCAGTTTGTGAAATCTTGAGATTTTGGCTACAAATCTCATATCTTTTAAATACCGTGGGCCATGCATAATCAACAATCCTCTTAAGAATGTTGCCCTGCTCTCTGAAGTATCCATTGGGGGTTGTTACTGCATGGATTTAGTTTGTTCAGCATTTTACCGTTTCTCTGGTGTACTCTGTCAGCTAGAGACACTTGTACTGGACCTGGATTCTCTGGTTAGTTTGCATAACCATTGCGTGGTAGTTTTGTTTTTTAATTCCAGAATTTTGTAATCTTAAGCGGTTGGAATTGTAAGCTGTTGCATATGAAGACCAAAGTATCCCATTCCTCACTTCCTTGATAGATGCATTGTATAAGTTTGTGGTGAAGGTGAATCTTCTTAATCTAAATGGCTTTTCATTTAAGAACACTTGGATTATTGTTTATTTGGTCAAATGATGCAAATTACAATGTTTGTTGTGTTCATATGAGTACGTGTACATGTTTTAGCTCCCATTCATTTGTATGAGATCAGTCTTGTAATTTGACTATGTAATCACGCAGTTATTATATTATAACTATTGGTTGATCTATGCGATGCACGTAATAAAATTAATATTTTTAACAAATTTATGATAGTATTATTATGAATCATGACATAATATATGTTCATATGTATAAATTATTTTGATGGTTTATTAGCTTTGATGTTAAACCTTTCATTTTTTTGTTATGTAGGCTTATTATTACTATATACTCAGGATTGTTATGTTTATTTATTCCTTTGTTATTTTAAAATTAACAATATTAAGCCTCATTAGGTCAAGTCATGGTAAGTTAACATAATTTCTTAAAATTCTTGTCTATCCTAATTTGTTTCACCAGTAAGAGTTATTTTCTTATTTTACAATGTTTAAATTAAATATCGTTAGGTTAAGTGCTGTTATGTTAATTTAAAATTTTAAAATACATGCCAATCCTTATTATTTTACCAATTTTAAAAACTGACAATAATATTTATGGTCATTGTACATGTAGGAGATAAACAATTCAATGATTGTAAATTTTATTTTACGCAATTAGAGTCCACTTTTTATTGATATCTTATATTTGTTATAAAAATGTTACAAAAGTACATAGTAATTTAACACAAACATAGTTCTTTCTAGATAAAAATTCTTAAGATACAAAAAAAGTTGATTTACTCATAAAATTGTGAAAAGGGGGGGTCAATCTTTGTATACTCTCATGATGTGGCATTTTGAAAATGTAAGTATTTAGAGTGGTACGTAAGCACCGATTAGTTGAGAGTAAAAGACTTGGGTTAAACTTTACTTTTATTACTGTACATTAGACGGGGTTAAGAAAGAAAGACAAAGTAATTTTGTATTATTACGTATATGTCTGCTCAAAGCCTTTTAGGTGAAGGGTGACATATGGATGGGTTGGGTTGGGTCAGGTGAAGATGGGTCTTGTGGTTAAATGGATTAACCCTGAACCTGCCCAATTAGCAAACAAGTGATACTTGGACAGATTTAGCTGTACACAGGTCGGGCACATGGACCCATTTTGATCAGTTTAATTGCTTATCTCTGCCAAGAACCATTTTTAGCTGACCATTTTATGAGTATCTTTTTTTGGATCCAATCCATTTTCGTGGCCCGACCCATTGGCCAAGATTTGTTTTCCCATTCCTTGGTACAATTGTTCTAGTGGCTAGCCTGTTGAACACTATAATTACAAGTGGGTGGTTTAATTAAAAATTCCTAGTGAACAGAATAGCAGAAACTTTTTCTCTTGTTCTTGGTCTTAAACGTTTAAGTAAATAAAAAGTATTACTGCTGTGAGGTCAACCTTGTTTTTGTTTTAAGCAATATGCGGCCCAAAGTTCAATTGTTACACTCATGTGATGAGCCAAATTGACACTGTTTCACTCATGTGGTGTTCTCACTGGCTAAGTCTTATGGAGGGTTCCTGAATGTCCATCATAAAGATGCTGAATAAACAAATAGAATCCAATTATTTATTTATTATTTTTATTTTTTTATACATCAATTGGGGTTGGATGTTAGTTGTTAAGGGAAGGGGGAACCACGAAGAGTGTCAAACTCTTCCCCATAAGATTTTGAATTCAAAACCTCACACTACAAAGTGGTGCAGCACAATCACAAGGCCAAGGCCGTTGTCAACTAGAAACTAATTTAGTGCATTGATTTCTTCTTTTTGGTAATTTCAAGTTAAACAATTTGGTTTTGATGTAGGACCAAGTGCTTTGGAATCACTATAATACTAGATCTAATATAAAACCTATGAAGCACGGGTACTCCAAAAATGTTGCGGTACAAGTACCGGATACTTCTCGGGTGCGGGTACGCGTACCGGTAAGGCTGCACGCGTACTGGGTATGCAAAACGGGTACGTTTTATACAGTTAGTATACTGATGGGTACGCCATGGGCACCCCACGGGTACGCCATTGGTACGTTTTGGGTACTCCGGGGTAAAAAATGAGATTTTTTTATAAATTAAAGGGTACCGGAGCAATTTTTTATGTCTATTTTAAAGAATTATAAAAATCTGGGGTTCTTTTGTAATAAATAAAACATGAAACCAAATAAAATTAGGGTTCTTTATTCTCTCTATCATTCTATCATCTCAGCTCCTTCCAGATCTCATTTCAAAATACTCCAAGGCTGAAGAACTTCGAAGGTGCTAGGGTTCCATGTCTATTCAATCATCTCCTTCCAGAAATACTCCCAAGAGAGTCTGAAGAACACTTCGAAGGTGCGATTGAAAGGTTTAATCGAAGGTGCTGCTGATTGATTCTCTCATTCGAAGGTGCGATTGAAGAGGTAAGTTCATCTTCGATTCTTTCCCCTTTTCTTCTTCGATTCTTTATCCTCTTTCTTTCATTTTTTTTTTTTCCAAATTTTTGTGCTGTTTGTTTGCTGCAAACGATCGATTCTTCTTTTCTCTTTGGTTTTCTCTTTCTTTGATCCTTCATCTTCTTCTTCATTTTTCTTGAACTTTTTTTTTTTTTTCCTGATATATGTCCAGATTTTTGAACTAAGATTTGTCCTTATTTTTTTTCTTCTTCTGATATATGTCCAGATTTTTGAACTTGAACTAAGATCTGTCCTTATATATATATATATTTTTTTTCTGATATATGTCTAGATATTTGAACTAAAATCTGTCCAGATTTGTTGAACTAAGATCTGTCCTTATTTTTAAAATTTTTTTTTTCTGATATATGTCATATATATATGCAATATGATATTGGTTGTAAAGCTTGACGACAAATTAAAATCCCTTGACACCTTAAATTCTCTTTCGTTGCAGTTTATTTTGAGGGGGAGGGATGGGGGTTATGTAACTGAAAAACAGAGCGTTAATTTGTAATGCATAACCATTGGTTTTGAGTTAAGTTATCTGTTTGCAATGCTTGATGTTGTGGGTGGATATGATCGATTCTTCTTTTCTCTTTAGTTTCGATATTTAATTTTAATTTGTAGGTTGGATCCTTTAACCATAATTATAAAAAAAAAAAAAAAAAATATCGGCGTACCACAGCCGTGCCCGTATCATATTTTTTGGGGGTTTTTCCGTATCGGCGTACCTGCAATCGTACCTGTACCGTACTCGTACCCGCAACCGTGCTTCCTAGTACTAAACTCATGTAGGGAAGATTAGGAAACTTACAGAAATGCTCATCATAGCTGAGGTTTATGGCTGATTAAGTAATGAAAAGTTAGGTAGCTTACTGAGTTAAAATCAATGCTACAATTGGTTTGATTTCAAACTGTGAGCTTGTTGGATTTTGTACTATTTTACGTGTTTGGGGTTGCGTTCAAAATGTCAAAAGGTCGGGGAAAATTTTCTCAAAAAAATTTGGAAATCAATTCTATTGATTAGACTTATTGACATGCATGTCCCATATGTAGGTTGTTGGGTTCTAATTCAACTTGGTCTGAAACTTCAGAAATAGAAACTGAGGTCCTTTGACTTGTTGAAAAAATCTAGATCATATAAATTCTCCATAAAACCATAACTTAGCATACAATACAACCCATGGACCAAAACCATAGCCCCTGTCAAGTGAATTTTGAAAATTAGCAAATGATCCCTAACATTTAATCTAAGAAAGGCAAAGTTTTTAAAGGTGAATGCGTAATGTGAGGCGTTTTATCCCTCATGAGGTGATGCGTAAGCCTTAAGGTATTGAGGCGTAAGCATTTCAAATTCTGAATTTTTATATTTAGTAAATATTTTAAAACAAAAAATAAATACATCAAAATTAAATATAAAGTTGTAAATACTTTTATGCTCAAGGCTCATTGCAGAGAATGAAGCTTTGCTTTATTAAAAGTGAAATTGGTATTCTTAGTTTTGGTGATTGAGCTTCTCACTGAGCATTAACTTTGTGTTTTTTCTTGATTAGTCATACTTAATTTTTCCTATTAAATATAGTTCTAAAATGGTTCTTTTTTATTTTTTATATTTAAACCATCTACTAGAGTAAGTTTAACAAGACCCTAAGACAAACTCTTCATATGCATATGCGCACCTAAAACGCATGTCTCAGACTATGTGCACAAGCCTTTGGGGAGTAAAGCCTAAGAATCAAAGCCTTGAGGCGTTTTTCCTTTGCCTTGCCTCAAGGCAAGCATAGAGGCAGGCCTCACTAAAGCCTTTTAAAGGTAATAAAAGATAAATAAAATTGCACAATAGACTATTGAGCTACTACAAAAAGTAGAGGTGCGCAAATGAATAGATGAACTTGCAAACTGAACCAATCAGGTCTTCATAGTTGGGCTTGTTCGTTATGGGACAATTCTCCATTTGGTTTTGGATCCAAAAAATCCCATAATTGACGCGGTCGTTTCAGTTCTTGGTTTAGGGCTCAAGTAATGTGGAACAACTTGAGAACTAACCCCATGTATATATTATATAATATTTATTATAGATATAACTATTCTTGATTTGTCTTGATTACCTTGGCTTTAACATGTGCAAAAATCATTTGCATAGCATGTGTTGTTGACTTTATGTTTGAGTATTTGCAAAAAATTTAGTGGACAATTGAAGTGTTATAAAATGCGAGTAGAACTATGGGAGCCTGAAGATTTTCAGTTTTGGTTAGTTGTATTCCGTTCCTTCATTGGTTTGGTTCTAGGTTTGGAATTTCCATAACTCACTAGGTTCATTTGGTTTTGGGTCTAGCACTAACCCAACCGAACCCAACCCAACCAACCCATGCTCACCCCTACTAAAATTTTAAGTGGAGACTTAAAATTCAAATTAGAAATTATTAGATGTAGTCTCAAGTGTATTGTTTCTATATATTCATTGGATGTCTCTTAAACTTAATTTCAAAGAGTTTGACCATGTATTTTGCGGACTTTATGGTTAGGGATTTCTAAACTTTTTAGTGGGCAACTAAATATTTAATTCAAGTAGAACTGTTGGTCAACATGAAGCAACCTGAGTTTTTCATTTTTGGGTGGAATGAGTTCCATTCATTGTTCCGTTTGGTGGTGTGTCCAAAATTCCCATAACCAACAAGGCCTGTTTGATTCTCGGTCTGGCACTAACCCAACTGAATCGAAATTATTAAATGAAGTTTCGAGTACTAGCATACAAAATTTTAGGTTTGCCATTTTTTTGTTAACATGCCCGACTTCATTCTCTGCCACATTATGAGAAAGCTTGCCTTCAATGTAGTATTCTAGGAGTAAAGAAAATAAATAAAAATGAACCATGGCTTGTATTCTTGGAAGATTGAAATTCCTTTTTTTTTTTTTTTTTGGGACATGAAACTTCTGCTAGGAAGCAATAAGAGCGGTATTAAGGGCCTGAGTGTTTGGAAATAAAATCAGTGGCTTGAGTGATTTGTAGATCAGACTTGTACATATAAGTAGACTTGTAGATATTTGTATAGATATTTCTAGAAGACATTGTAGAATGTTCTTGCAGCTTGTAAGAAGGCTTCCATGGGAAGCTTCTACATGACACTTTCTTGTGTGTTCTAGAATGCTCCTAAAGAGCCTATAAAAAGGAAAGGGGCTCATTTGCTCCAATCAATCCAAGAGTTGTATAAGTCCCTTTAAAGTGAATACAGAAACATTCTCCCAAACACTCTGGGCTTGTTTGGTTTGTTTTTGGAAGAGTTGTTTTTGAAATTTTTTTTCAAAATTTTGTTTGGTTTATTGTTTTTTTCAAAAAATTTCCAAAATTACTTCCTCTCTCTTACACATCAATCAATCACTTTTTCTCTCTCCTCTCTCATTCTTAATCACTTTTTTTCTCACCCACATCTACCCAATTACAACAAAAATATCAAATCATCCTAAACTCCCAAACTCCAAAATTACTTTCAAAAAATACAACCAAGCAAACCAAAAAAATTTCTAAACTCTCTCCCCAATTTTTTTTTGAAAATCACTCTCTAAAAAACAAACCAAACACACCCCGTCTTCTTACTTGTCTTTCTTGCAAATTTGTGAGTTAGGCTGACTTAGCATCACCAAGCAAGACTTGTGATTGTCTAAGTGCCACAGGGATAACTTGGAAATAACCAAGGCCGTGACATGTAGCTGGCAAAAAGAGAATGTCCAAGCTCCTACGGTTCCCTATAGCTATAACATATTTCATACAAAGAATAACTTATAAGTTAGTTTAAAATTTTTTATTTTTTATTTTTTTGTTAGCTCATTATTTCTTTTGTCTTGTTTTTTATTTTTTTTAATAGTCCACTTCATTTTTATTATAGGCACAAGATAGTTTTGACGATGGTGCTTTAACTATATTTGAGATCGATGGTGTTAGGAAGAGATATCGACTCAATCGTTTTCATGTAGTGGTTGAAGTAGAAATACTGTACAATAAAATCATGGAGCATCCGAACAGTCATATATACACCCCTCTTCCAATTTTCCAAGTCAAGGAGGACAGCGGCAACGAGTGTACGGAAGAATTGCATTTTGTTGCCATACCTCAAAGGGGAGTTACAATTGAAGATTTTTTGAAAACATCGTCAAATAGAGATTCACTCTTTGATTCTCTCCATTCGGATCAATATAAGAAACTAATGAAAGAGATTATGAAAGTTGTTATTCATCTAATGGACATAAGTGATTTAACAATCAAATTAGGTCTTCAAACTGTCACATTATTACATGATAGACAATTTTCTCAACATTGTATTGCCAAATTTTTTGGTGTCAAAATTTTCAGTAAGTTGAAATTCTGCTAGTAAAAATGATTTATTTATTTACTTATTTATTTATTCTTATGAAATTTTTATCTTTATGTATTGTTATATAGGAAAGCAAAATAAGGTGTTAGGTTTTTGTAATTGGCAATCCTGTTTGATAAAATTTCTTTTCAGTTGTAATTTTATTTGATCTTTTATTTGAGTGAGGCTGTGAGTATTTAGATGCGATTCCAACCTGAATTGTGTTTATGCATAGGATTTTGTGATCTTAATCCTATCATTGTTGCCACTTCGCTGACTATGTCACAACCTTTCAGAAGTTTCACTCGTCTGCAAAAGTACTGGGAGTTTTTTTTTTTTGCTCGTGCAGCCATTCCTGTGTTCGAGCGTAGACCCTCTTTAGTCTCATGCGTTTTAGTCACTTTGCTCGAGCGGCCATTCTTGCCCTCGAGCGGAGATCGCGGATCTGTTTGCTATAAAAGCTGTGGTTTAGTCAGGTGTTAGGGTACGGCTTTCAGATCTTCTTCTTAGGTATTAGGGTTTTTTTCTGGAGCTTCTTTGCTTGTTTCCTTTGATATCTGTGAGAGTTTAATCATGAATTGAATGGATTATATCAAAGGGTTTGTTTAGTTTGTT